TCATATCACTCAAGCCACCTCGTGACATAAATAGTATCTCAGGCCCTCGGCCTCATATCACTCGACCTCATATCACTCAAGCCACCTCGTGGCATAAATAGTATCTCAGGCCCTTGGCCTCATATCACTCAGCATATCCTCACATATGACCCTCAGCCTCACTCAGTCCGGAAATCATCATAAGCCCCTCGGGCATTTGTAAAACAGTAGTTCTCAGCCCAAAAAACCATTTAGAAATATCATTTGAGTTTTCAAATTTGTATAAAAGCGGCTGAGTTTGTAAAACAATAATTATCAACATGACTGAGTTTAAATATAAGTCAAAATAGTGAATAAATAGTGATAAAAATTCCCAAAGGATTCAAATAATTGGCACGAAACCCAAGTATGGCAATCAACCCAAATCATGATGATAACAAATGAATTTCAATCAAATATGCGGTAAAATCATCAATCGGGATGGACCAAGTCACAATCCCCGGTATTAAAAGACCCCACGCTCATCATCTAGCGCGTGTCTCACCTCAATATAGTACTACGATGTGCAAATCCGGGGTTTCAAACCCTCAAGACATCATTTACAATCATTACTCACCTCGAACCGGCTAATCCTCTAGCTCGCGATGCCCTTGGTCTCTCAAATCAACCTCCGAATGCCTCGAATCTAGCCACAATAATTTGATTCAGTTAATAAAAATTATAGGAATTAATTCCATATGAAATTCTACATTTTCCATTAAAAATCCGAAATTGCACTCAAAATACGCCCTTGGGGCCCACGTCTCGGAACCCGACAAAAATTACGGAATATGAAACATCATCCAACCATGAGTCCAACCATACCAATTTTACTAAAATCCGACATCAACTCAACCCTCAAATCTTCAAATTAAACCAAGAGGGTTTTCAAGATTTTCCCAACTAAAATCACCAATTAAATGCCAAAACTAGTAATAGAGTCGGGTAATCTAACCAAAATTAAGTTAAGAACATTTACCCCGTTGTTTTCTCTGAAAATCTCCCGAATATCGTCTCTCCCCGAGCTCTAATTTGGTAAAAATGGAAAATGGGTAAGAACTCAACATTCTATCTAGAATTTTCGTGGTTACTGTTCACGCATTTTACTGTTCACGGGTACTATTCATGGGTACTGTATACGGGGTACTGTTCATATGTACTGTACATGGGTAATGTACACGGATACTGTACATGTTACTGTACACAGATACTGTTCACGCAGGTGCGGTTACTGTTCACACGTGCGAAAAATGCAGAAACTGCCCAGAAAATTGCAGCAGCTTTTCTTTTCACTAAAAAGGCTCTAACTCCATCATACGAACTCGGAATTCGATGATTCTTGTTCCTATGAGTCACAAATAATAATACGAACATAGCCCTTCAGTCGAAACTCAATTTGGAGCTCATTTGCTCAGTTCAATACCCATTTCGCTCGTTAAACAATTAACTCATATTTCATGTCGAAACCCCAATCGCGACTTGATGAAATTAGACCAAACTTTCCAAATTAGTCCTATAATTCATTATCAAAATTTTGAAAGTCTTGAAATCAAATTTCGATCTCTAGAACTAAAAATGGACCTTTGGATCATTACATGCTTATGCTCAAAACGGCAAAATCTTCCAAAAACTCTTCCAAAACTTATCCGAGCCTCATGGGACCCCGACCAAACATGATAACACACCCCATGACATCATTTAAACTTGTCCCAGCTTTCGGAATGCTGAAATTAAATAACACATCGAATCACCCTCGGATTCAAGCCTAAGAATTCCAAAACTTCCAAATTCCAAATTCGATCAAACAGTCTATCAAACCTCGTCCGAATGACCTAAACTTTTGCACACATATCCCAAATGACATAATGAAGCTACTTCAACTTTAGGAATTCCATTCCGACCCCTATATCAAAATATCGCCTATCAACCGGAAAACGCTGAAATCTCAATTTCGCCAATTCAAGCCTAAACCTTCCACGGACTTCCAAAATGCATTCCGATCACGCTCATAAGTCCCAAATCACATAACGGAGCTAACCAAACCATAAAAATTCAAATTCGAGAACAAATACAAACAAGTCAAATCTTGGTCAAACCTTTCAAATTTCAAGCTTCAACTGAGAACTGTTCATCCAAATTCATTCCGATTAACCTGAAACCCAACACCAACGATTTACATAAGTCATAATACACTACACGGGGAAAGTCATGCCCGAGAGAACTGGCGATCAAAGTGCAAAAGCTCAAAATGACCGATCGGGTCGTTACAACGGTCCATTATGCGACCGCAGACTCGATTTCGGAGGCTTATTTTTCCTATTTTTATAACCCGGCCCCATTTTAATATATAGGCTTTGGGACTTCATTTGGGGTCATTTTCTACTAATTTTAGAGAGAGTTGAGAACATATAGAGAGAAGAAGAGAGAGAAGGAGCCTAGCTTCATAATCACCCAAATCTTGCTCAAGTTTTCAAGAATCAATGAAGATAACTACTTGATTGTGCTCCATCCGGGTAAGTCCTTCTTCCAAAATTTCATGTGAGAGGTTAAGGGTTCAAATATGTTGTGAGTGTAGACATGTGATTTTTGCCCCTCCCCAAGATTTTTTATATTTTAGCATGTGAATATTTAATTTAGGCCTAATAACGTTATTTCAACTAATTTTGACTCTTCTACTTTATTTTATTACAAGAAAATGAAAATTACAAAAAATAGTTTCATTAATATTTTGTAGTCGTTTTTAATCTTGAAAATACCAAAAATAGTTTTGTTTTAACGGTCAGTCTTATTTTAATAGTTATTTTACTTAAGTAAGATTAATTAATAAATGAGATCGTATTTTTAATCTCGTTTGCGGGGAAAGAATAAAACTTGGGCTCGAGCAACCCATTTTTAGGCCTAATTTTTGGACCTGACCTATAATTCCCAAACCCATAATTCTTAGGCTCATACCCCTAACCTAAATGTAACCCTAAAACCCTAAACCTATAAAAAGGAGCTAACCTAAAATGCCTAAGGGGGATCTAATTGAAAAAAGATTTGAAGCGCCGCTTCAGCATAGAAAAGACCCCCCTCCCTGATTTCTGATCTCCTTGGAACCACCCATTCGTTCTGCTTCTTCTTCTCCAATTGGAAACCAGCAAAAAACCTTATCCCTTCCCTCCATGGCTAAGACTTACACACACTATCATCTCTGGACCAAATCAGAACCGGAGGAATAAAACGAAAAACAGAGGAGGACGGGAAGACATAGCAGAATCGGTAGGGGAGATTAAAACACTCAATTGCTTCATTCATTGACGAGCACATAGAGAAATTCACATTCACAAGCTCGTCTTCATCGTGTGATTTCAACAACACTGTGACTCCTCACCCTTTTCTGGTTTAGTTGAGTGTTCTTTTCGATTCACAGTCGAGGTTGAGGTTGATTCTGTTTGGGTGAGGTTCCCGGTCAGGGTCGTCGAGTTCCAGTCGAAGCGCCGGTTCTCAATTTTGCTATTACGCCGATGCCATGTTGCTGTAAACAACTTTGTTGTAAGACTTGAAAGTGGACAAGCTCAAATAAAGGTCATATCCTCTTATCTTGTTGGCTGTGTTTGTATATTGTTTCATTGTTGTGTATATAGTTTCTGGTTGTTCGATGGAATGCCTCAACAGAAAGCTTGAAATTATATCTTCATGCATTCACTATTTATACTCAGTTTTCTACAAATCTTACCGTAATCTCAACAACCAGAGCCCATAAATATTTTGTTGTTTCAATTACTTAGCGTGAAATCTCCTACAACTGTCGCTTAAAGCAAATCCTGGTACTTGTCTGAGGTACTACGGGCAGTAGTAGCATTTTGTTTCTGATGAGTTTAATTTGTCAAGATTATGATCTTTATTTGTGATTATCTAGTGTTTGAATCGATTTGATTTGTGGAAGATTTGACTCTTTTGTGATTGTTCGGTGTTTGGTATAAGATAATAACATAAATGAATTCTTTCTTTTGATATTAAGTTGTCGAGATCCGTAGTTGGTTGTCTAGTTAAAGTATGGGTTTTGATCGAGCTCTTGTCATTGAGGCCTTTTTAGCTTGTGATCGCAATGAAGAACTAGCTGTAAATTATTTATTAGAACATGCTGAAGATTACGAAGACTAAGTGCCAGAATCTTTTAGCAATATTCTTTTGCACACCACTAACATGTCTTGAGTTGATTTTAATTACTCATGAGGGTTTGTAAAGGAGGTTTTACTTTAAATGAGCGTCCAAAATTTTATCGAGTTGGGAAGGTTCGTTTGGTAGCTTTGCTTTGCAGTTACTCCAAGTGAAAGGAATTGATCACTAGTGGAAATTTGTTCCTAGACTGTAAAGAATTGCTGGTTAAGGTGTGCCATATTAGATAACACCAATAGTTATGGCCCTCAAAAACTAAATTTAGAAATCCTTTTGATAGAATAATTCGAGGCGTTCCATGCCAAATAAAATCTCAAAACTCATGGCCCTCAATTAATTTGAATCCTTTAGAAATCGAGGTGTGCCATTAGCAAACTTTCCATGGCCATCGCAAATCTGAAAGTGCGTAGTTGCTTTAGGCGTGCTAGTTTAAAAATTACTTTCCTAAACTCGGATGTGCATTTCATGTGACCCAACTCCAATTCTCAACAACGCTAACTAAAATGTGTCCTGGGCCACGGGTGCATTTCATGTGGCGTGGTTCAAGGCGTGTTTTAAATAACGTTGAATCTTCCTAAAAAATAATAAATAAAAACAGTTTTAATGTAAAAATGCACATATGTTTAAAAGTGTATTAAAATCAGATAATAGGCCAATAATAACAGTTGAGAGACCGTGCTAAAACCACGGAACTCGGGAATTCCTAACCCCTTCTCCCGAGTTAACAGAATTCCTTACCCGGATTTCTGTGTTTCGCGGACTGTAAAACAGAGTCAATCTTTTCTCGATTCGGGATTTAAATCGGTGACTTGGGACAGCATAATTTATCCCAAGTGGCGACTCTGAATCTAATATATATATATATATATATATATATAATATCCCGTTTCGATTGTCACTTAAATTGGAAAAAACTCCCTTATACCCCTTTCGGGGGTAGAAAAAGAAAGTGTGACAGCTCTGACGACTCTGCTGGGGAAAAGAACCCAGAACTTCTAGTTCAGGGTTCAAGAATTCGAGCTTAGAATAATTATTATATTTGGCTTTATTTATTATCTAGTTTTATTACATGTTTGGGCCTAATGTGCTAAATGATGCTTTTTACCAATTTGATATTATTTGAATTGTATACAAACTGCTACGAAACTCTTCTCTTCTCATCTTTGGGGATGTGCACGCTGGCGTGACTCTTCATCTGTTAGTGTCATACCTTAAATTAGGAAGAGGCCCGGACAAGTTACAAAATTGGATGGCCTCTTGGTTCCCGGTACGCAGCGCCCCCTCGGCTCGAGTTGTCCGCTCGGGTACACAAGTCTAGAACAACATACCCAGATTTTGAACTTAGAATAACTCAGCCTCATGCTGGATCCCTAGTAGGAACGCTTATTTGCATCACGTGCATTTGACTCTGGGGACTCAACACAGGGGTTGGGTTCATCTAGGACAGGTGTACCCAAAATTAAAAGACCCTCTTGATACATATATGTGCTATATGTTGCATTCTTCAAGGGTAAAATGGGTCATTTGGCGGACCAATGCGGGTTGAGGGAAAATGAGAAAGAAAAGAGTGTGAAGTGTAAAATAAAGCAAGTAAGACCCAGTTATTTTTTCTTTCACATTTTTAAAAAAGAAAAAAAACATGAAAAATCCAAAAAGATTTTGCACTTTCCCATCATTTTCTGAAAAAAAAAATCAAAAGAAAGGGAAAAGAAATCCAAAAAGAGTTTACATGCTTCATCATTTTTCAAAAACAAAGACAAAAAATATTTTCTCTAAATTAGTTATTTTTTTAATTCTCGCACGTATCCAGTTTGCCCGAACTACGCGAACCTGATTCTCGTCTCTCGGGGTGGGATACGTAGGCAACCCTTCCTAGTGAGTTTAGGTTCTTGGATTCGTGGGGTCTTAGCCAAACTTGCATTTTTAGCCACTTTTAGCCACATAGGTTAATTTTAGAAAAATAGTCGCAACCATGTCTTGCATGTGTCTAGTAGGGAATGTTATTGTCTCACATAGTGTTGGTTTCAGTTTTCTCATACAGGTGTGCATCTACTTACCGAAGTTTGAGCATGACAGTTATTGACCATTGCATTCAGGAGCTGCCTGAGGAGCCTTTTTATGTTTTTGAGTCTATTGTCCATGTTACTTACTTGTCCTGTATAGTAGTATTCAGTCATTTAGTTGATGTTAGAGTCTGTCATAGTCCAGTTAAGTTTGTCGAGTCTTTTGTTATTGTTTTTTATTTTGTATTTGAAAAATGTATTATAAATCAAAAATCCAAAAAAGAGATATTTTGCATTTTTATATTTCCGTTAGAATTTTCTTTAGAAATACTACTCTTAGAAATTAAAAAAAAAGTTTGAGGTGGTTTCATTTTAGGAAATTAATATCTATAACTCAAAATAAAAATTGCTTTTATATTTTCTTTTAGTACATTAAGACAAAAAGTTAAAAAAAAGAGAATTTTCTTTTAGTACCTCTTTAAAAGTTTTCTTTAAGATTTTAGCTCCAAAAATCCAAAATTGAAGTTGCTTCTTTGGGAAATTGATGAAAATTGAAAAAAAAGCTTTTGTTATTTTCATTAGAACTTTAGGATATTGTACATAGAAAAAATAACATACTTTTTCTTTGGTTTAAATTCAGAGTGTCTTCTTTAGGTAATCAAAAATTCAAATCCAAAAACAGTTTTTTATCTTTTTCATTTCTTGTTTCGAAATCTTTTCTTCAGAGATATCAAATGAAAATTCAAAATAGTTTTCTGTGGTTTATTCTTTAGATTTTCTTCCTAAAAAAAAAAGAAGAATCAATTTTTTTTCTCTTCTAGGGTTTTTCCTTAATAATTTCCCATAGAGTGTTTGTTTCAAAAAGAAAAAGAAGCAAAAAAAATATATCCTCGTTAAGCTTGAGTTTGGAATAGGTTATAGAACATTAAGTCTAGAAAATTTTTAAAAAAAAGATTTGCTTCTTTTATTTCTCTTTTCTTATAAGAGTAGTCATTAAGATAAAAAAGAAAAAAAAAGAATGTGAGTTTGTTTACTTTATTTTCGATCTTCCCGAACTATGCAAAGATCTGATTCATGCGGCGTCATAATACGTAGGCAATCTACATAGGGTTCGATCAAATTATTTTTTTATTTATTAAAAGAAAAAGAAAAAAGAAAAAAGGAAAAAAGAAGGAAACAAAGAAAGGGTGAAATTCGGGGATGTGAGAAATGAGAGGAAATAAAAAAGTGATAATTAGAAAAAAGAGGAAGGAAAATGAGCAAGCAAGTGCTAGAAAAGTAAATAAAAGAGAAGATTGAAATGAACAAAATTGGGATGATGCCAAGTGACCTTGTGACCCTAGAAGTCATTCTAGAACCGTTAATTGTTGCTAGGTGCATTGCACACAAAGTGATATTTTTAGTTGTTAAATGCCCTAATGCTAACAGGATGTCCCCATTTTGTTCCTTTTGTTATCTTCATTGAGCAGAAAGGTGGTTGGTTTATGGTTCTTAAAGTGGTAACTTTTCTCTACAACATAAAGTTGAAAGGCAATGGCAGATGACAACAGTATTGAGTTGGTTGATACAGGTGCCCAAAAGCAATTGGTTGAACAGGACATTGGGTTGGTTAAAGAGGTGAGGAGGTTAAGACAACACATGACGGACATGTATCGGGCTTGGATGACGGGGAAGGCACCACCCCCGCCACCACTTACCTTCATAGATGTTACTCTTACCCAAAATCCGGTCATAGTACCAGATGATTCCCCATACTCTCCATATTTTCCCACTTATCACAGCTTTCCCAACCACCCTAGTAACTCAATCACTCGTTCTCCAATTATCTTTCCCCAAAATTACCCTCATATCATATCCACTATCCCCAACAATGAACACCCACTCAAAGCTCATGACGCCCAATATTACCCCTCAGAGGTTGCCCACAAAGTTCCTGACTCGTACAATCAGAGCCTTCAGAATAAGCCTCATGTTGAAAACGAAAAGTTCACAGGAAAAGAAGGGCGAGATGAGCTATCCAGAAAGCTGAAAAGGTCTAAAACGCTAAAGCTTAATTTGTATGATGGACGTGGAGATCTAGTAGCACATATGAGAGGTTACTGCAGTGAAATGAGAAGTGTTGGCGGGAAAGGTAATTTGTTGATGGCGTATTTCAGTGAGAGCTTGACCGGGGCAGCCTTGCAGTGGTATACGCGTCAAGATGTCAAAAAGTGGCATGCATGGGATGACATGACTCAAGATTTTGTTCGACACTTTCAATACAATATAGACATTACCCCAGACCGCTCCTCCCTTTCTAAAATGGAAAATAAGCCAAAGGAAAGCTTTAGGGAGTTTGGGCTCAGATGGAGGGAGCAAGCTGCTCGAGTCAACCCCCCTATTGGTGAAGAAGAAATGGTTAAGCTTTTCCTACAAGCTCAGGGGCCCACCTACTTCAGTCATTTGATTCTGACCTTGGGTAAACCTTTCAATGATGTGGTAAAAATAGGGGAGATGGTAGAAGATGGAATCAAGTCAGGCAAAATCATGAGTTATTCGGCATTGAAAGATACTACGGAAGTCATTCAGAACATCCCAGTAAGTTTGGGTGGAAGAAAGATAAATAGAAAAGATGATCCGCTGGGCATTCTTGCTCAACGCTTTCAGCCTCGACATCGACCCCATGGATCTCCTTGTGCACCAGATGATCCTCCCCAATGCTATTTCTCTCCACGTAAACCCCAAAGTCATACATCACTTTCCCAGTTCCCTATCCACAATGCACCACCATATGCTCCACACCCATGAGGCCCACGATGGCCCGCACCACTTCCCCAAATGTCTTACCCGCCTCCTCAAGCATATCAGCCACATGCCCGCAAAAGGTTCTAACCGAGGCCAGAATACAAACTGAAAAGACTGCTGAAAAAAGAAAAGGCTTTCACCCCTATTGGAGAATCATATGCCAGTTTGTTCTAAAGGTTGAGACAATTGGACATGTTGAAGCCGATTCAGATAAAAATGCCAAATCCTCTGCCAAAGAAGTTTGATTTTTCTCAAAGGTGTGCATATTGCTCCGATGTCTCGGATCACAGTACAAAAAAGTGTTGGCACCTGAAAAATACAATTCAGAAGCTTATTGATGCAGGTGACATTGTCGTACAAAATCCAGATGCAGCAGACACTAGCCAAAGTCCATCGCCTGTTCGTAATGAGACACATATGGTGAGTATGATTTGTTTTTAAAAGGAATATAGGAATTCTTCTGAGATCCTCGGAGGTCCACGCGCTGCAAAGCTTTCAACGCTATTAGAGGTTGATCTTAAGAACAAGCCGGCAATGGGAACCCAAAAATAATTTGTTAAGAACAATGTGATAAAGACTTATGAAGGTCCTAGTATTGTTGATGCAGAATTCAGTGGCTAAGATGTTGAGCTTGGTAATTGGAAAGATGCTCCTTTCTTGGTTAGCCAGGGAGGAGTATTGATAGTTTATTTTGTTGCCATTTTTGTTGTCCGGTTTATTTCAGGGTTGTAATCCGGATATTGTCTTGTGGCTCAAACCCTTCTTATCCTTTTATTTTGCCTGGTTTATTTAGTCGTAGCAACTCGTTTAGTGCTGTTTAGGTTTGTTCCAGGGTTGTAACCCCAGTTTAGTGCTTGTTTTGTTGTTAAAACCCCTTCATCGTTTGTCTAATACAATTTTCTGTTTTCTGTTATTTTTAGTCATTTCTATTTAGTTCTCTTCTCCTTTTATAGTTCTCTTCATGCTGGTTCTGGTGACATGACCTGTATGCGTAATTCTAGGCCTAGTCTTAAAGGTTAGTTTAATCATGAAGCAATAAAATAATTGTGAAAATGATAGGGACATTTGAGAGAAATAAGTAAAGACATTTCGAGATCATTTGAAGCTCGAACTGTGTGAAACTGGGGCAAATAATTGGGAAAGCTAATGGGGTGACAAGAATTCGTTAAAAGAGAGTGCATCCCAGACAGTTTGAAGCAAACAACTTTGAGTTCAAGTGAATCTCAAGTTACAAGATAAAGTCAAGAAAGTTGTCTCCGAATTGACGGAGGATATCCATTGTGAAGAGGGGATTACCCAACAAGGGTTCTGTACTTGACAAGGCACTAAAAAAGTGGAAAGCATATCACTGATATCAATGTCAAAGCTTTAAAAGAAACGTTGTGCATGCTATTCCTTTTTCATATCAAGTTGCATGTGTTGTACTTGGCATTTTCAGGGATTAGCTACCGAAACACTTATACCATTCGATACCCTGTTGAGCCGATACTGATTTCTTTGACCTTCCCTCTTTTGGAATCAAGTTAGAGTCATACGAAAAAAGAAAAAAATTTCATGTCCCCATAGGTTTATTTTAGAAGTTCATTCCAAAATGAATATTCAAAAAAAAAAAAATAGAGATAAAGAAAAAAAAGAGAAGAAAAATAGAGATAAAGAAAAGGGAAAAAGGAAAAAATAAGAAAAAGAAGGAAAAAGAAAAAAAAGAAGGAAAAAAATAGAAAAAAAAAGAAAAGAAAAGAAAAGAAAAGAAAAAGAAAAGTAGCAACAACAAAACGTATCTTTGTGAACTACGTTTGACCTGATTCTTGTCACCTCAAGATACGTGGGCAACCTTACGGTTCGGTCATACCAAATAAAATATTTCATAATCCCACGAAGTCGAGAGTGGGAAATTCCATAAAAAAGAGAGAAGAAATCAAATTCCCTTGTTTTAGAAATTGGGGCAAAGTTTTTAGAATGGATTCCAAAAGTTGTAAATAAATTAACCCCGTTGTCTTAGTCACTTTGAGCCTTTATGATATCATTTTTTCTAATCCTGTCCAAAAGCCACATTACAGTCCAAAAAAGACCTCCCAAATAATCTTTGAAAGTGCTGAGTTTAGACATGCCAAGAGTATATGATGTTTTTACTATGGTTAATGCCTTGTCATCTGCAGAATCAGAGGAAATAAGAAGAAAAGAACAAAATGAGAGAGTCTTATTGGTGAAAACCTTTACAGGCACCATAGGGCGATGGTGAGTTGAGAGAAGGAACAAAATGAGAGATGCTTGATGGTGAAAACCCTTCGGGCACCACAAGTCGAACAGGGATCGTGAATCAGATAGAATAATTAGAGCATTGAAGCCCAGTTTCATGGCGAAAAGGTACAATAAGAGTTGAACATTGGACTTGCTTGGAAGATTAGGCCATTTAATCCAAAGGTGTATGTCACGGTCATTAGAGTTGGTATCCATATCTGATAAGTGTTTAGTTTTCTTGTTAGGAATCATCTCTTTCCAT